TATCTATCTATCTATCTATCTATCTATCTATCTATCTATCTATCTATCTATCTATCTATCTATCTATTAATCACATTTATGTAGCCACCCATCTCATGTAGTGACTCTGGGCTGCGTACACAATCAAACAATCCAAATAGATAGAAACTAATTTAAAATACAACCAAAATAAATTAAAAAGATAAAAAAACAAAATGACGGGGGGAAAACCCACAGAAAGAGTGCATTCCAGTTAACTATCATGTAACCATCATGGGATCCCCAGGCCAGCTGACAAAACCATGTTACCTGGGAGTGAGCTTCATTGGGCTCTGTGGTACTTCCTTGTGACTTTCGGTTTGTAAAACAGATTCAGTTTGTTACAAAAGAGTTTTATGCAGATGCTGTGCAATCTTTAGCTTTGCTTAGAAAAGCAAATAACTTTGCAAAAGGGATTAGTGTTAGTGATAAATAGAAGCTCCATTGAAGGGAAAGAAGTACTTAGCTTCTGCTTGGTTATTTTATTCTTTCTCTGATTTTTTGTGCCAGAGTGGTCATAAAAAGTGGTAAAACGTGAAAACTCTTTATCACCAATCCACCAATCGCCAATCCACCAATTTTGTCTGAGCAAGAAGGATATACCAGTTTCTCTAATACTCCAGCAGATGGTGCTGGATATCAATTTAACAAATAAAACAAATAAGGCTTTGCTCTGAAAAAACTCTTGAAGCTGCACAAAAGTCCCAGCTTCCTCCTTGGCGACATGAGTCTGAGCTTTGTTGAAGCAGCTGGCTGGTCATTCTCCAAAACAGTTACTGGATTTTGTAAATATTTGATCCCATTCAGTGTTTTTCTCACATCCTTTCTGTACATTTTCTGCTTTCCCCTTATAAATAATATGATGATATAATTCTGATTTTGTCCATTGGAAAGTGTGCTGGGGTATTTCAGAAGGTAACCTGAGGATGTGGCATTAATTAACCATATTCTCTTGCTGTGGAAACCAGTTGGAGGAATCTGAAACAGCCTCTCCAAAAAACCAAAAATGTTTTAGATTTTTTATCCTGCCTTTATTATTTTTTATAAATAACTCAAAGTGAACATACCTAATACTCCTTCATCCTCCTGTTTTCCCCACAACAACAACCGTGTGAGGTGATTTGGGCTGAGAGAGCGCAACTGGCCCAAAGTCACCCAGCCGGCTTTCCATTTTCTTCTAGGAATCCACATCCAGGCCAGAGAAGGGAAAACAAGGCAAAATGGGGGGCCAGTTGGGGGGCAAACAGCAGGATGAACCTGGTTCAGCAGATTGGCAGGTAAGGCTGTTTCTGGGACATCAGACTTCCCCAGTTCTGCCCTCCCCTCTAGGCAGTGCTCTCAACTTAACCACCTTTGTATTCCCTTCCAGCAAAGTCCATCTACCTCCAGCAGAGGGCAGTTGGGAGCATCTCAACATCTGGATGGACTCAGGGGGTCCCCAAAGCATTCCTCCATTGAGCCCCCAGAGCCTGAGAAAGGGAAGCTTGGGAGAGGAGCAGATTCTGTTAGACCAGGTGAATGAAATTCAGAAATATATACATATTTGGGTCAGAGTTTGAGCATCGATTCACTAACGATTCTTTCCCATGACTCAGTTGAAAAGCTATCCACCTATCCTTCAGCCAGCAGAAAACTCTACCAGCATCAAATGTGCTAGGAATCTGGTAGCAGTGGTGTGGAGCCTGCAAAGTGGCTGTTCATTGATTATGTGCTCTGAAGCCATTGTTGACTCTTAGCAGCCATATAGATAGATTTTCTCCATCATGATTTTCCCTAACCTGGTCCTTCAGCTCTGCCAATGGTGCACTCAATGCCACTGTAACTGAATCTTGCTGCTGGTCATCCTCTTCTTCTCTTTCCTTCCACCTTTCCTGGCTTTAGAGCCAGAGAGCTAGATCTTT